TGAATCAGCATTTCAGCATTTTGCTGGAGGTACATGGAAAGTCCATATGAAATCTTGAGAAGTGCAGAAGCACCAGAGCTTCTCGAATTCCTTCAGAGAATCCTTCCTCGTAGCCGAATCATCCAAGTCTCTCCGTGGAATTTCCACGTCTTGCATCAGGGTATGTCCCTTTCGCAATCCCCTAACCCCCTAAGTTTACATCTCAAATCTGGGCGGCTCCAAACAACCTGTTTATGACATGAGTCATCCGAGCCCTAAAACCCCAAGCCGTTCTATTCTGGCCCAAACTTGCTGGTGGTTAGTACGTAGCGAATAACGGAATACAAGCCCCACGTTATCCGTGTATTCTACAACATATTCCCTATCATTCTCTCATTCCCTAACCCTGGGGCTCCATGTTTATAAATAACACCTACATTGGGCCCCAATGTCTATAAATAGTACCTACATTGGGCTATGTGGAGCCCTACTTAGGGCTCACTCCCTAAACCACCATTATGCAAAAACGAGCCAGGCAATACTTCGTCGCTGGGAACACCGTCTCGCCTTCTGGGCCGCCGTGGGCCCAGATGTCAAAAATGGGTGTTCCTAGGAAGTTGTTTAGGGACTCTGCTGTGAGAGGTTTTACACACACACATATATATATATATATATATACATATGATTACACACGTAACATTGAATATTGAGTTACCTTGAGGATTGCAGAGTTGCTCCAAAATTGACTTTGGGAAGTGTAGGGATTCGGTTAATCAGGTTTGCTTTTATGTTGCTACCTCCTTCGGCAGCCAAACCTCTACCCGCCCAAATCTGCTCTTCTGAAAAATTGCAGCTCATCCCAAATTCAGTCGGAAACCTGTGTGAAGCAACTCAGAGCATGAGGACTGGGCTGTGGAGTCATTTGAAAAAAGACCTCTGGGAGGAGTAGCCAAAAGCGGCGGCAAAACTCTTGACTCTGCAGAGGAGAACTGCTTCTGAAGCCATTCAGCAGCCTCTAGGAAGCAGGGATACAAGCTTGCAGCTAAAGCGCTGCTGACCCTGTAAAGTCACGGTGTCAGCCTTGAGTTTAGGCTTTAGGGATTCAGGCTTGAGGATGCTTGGCTTGCCGTGTGGAGTTGCCCTAAGGGCTCGGGTCTGGGAGAATGCAAACATGCCCGATTTCAAATGCCATGCAGGGGTTAGTTTGAGATGCTGGTGTAACCACAGGTTCAAAGCAACAACGAAATCCCCCTGGCCCTGTCAGTTTGCGAACCTCAAAATGATGATGACGAGCACAGCGACGACCACCATGACGATGATGATAATGACCACGAGGACGATGATGATGGTGGTGATGATGATGATGGTGATGGTGATGCTGATGGTGATGCTACTGATGGTGATATTGACGTTGATGATGATGATGATGATGATGATGATCATGATCATGATGGTGATGGTGACGATGACTGTGACGACGATGCTTCTCGTGCATTATCAGATATGCTATACAGTTGTCCAGCTCATTTTAAGTGCAGAATCTCAGTCTTAGGTTGAAAGGTGTAGTTAGACAAAATCCAGCACTGAATGCAAGAGTTTCGCTGTCAGCTGCTTGAACAAAGGGAAGCGCACAAGCCTGCTTCCCTTTTTCAGCGTTCAATCCTAGTCGCCCTAAAGCGACGGTAGCTTTACCCGGACCCCAAAAAGAGGCAACAGAATCGCAGAAAATCCCCTAAGCATGGCCCAAGACAGCTGTTATTCTACATCCTTTCAGGGTTCAAGCAATTTGGACCGTGGCAGAGTTTTCTGAGATGGACAAGCAAACCTGTTGGACCGTCAACTTGGGGGTTCGTGGGTCTACTCTAGATAGCTCAAAACCATCCACCCCTTGGGGTCAAGGGAAAAGAGAATGGAAAGTACTATAGCGTTTAGGGTTTAGGGTTAGGGTCTTATAGGGATTGTGGAAAATGACATGGAAACTACTATAATATATTGGGGTAATATTGGGAGAATGCAAAAGAAAATGGAAACTATAGGGTTAATATACCCATGCGATGGAGGAGGATTGGATACTGCCCCCACCCATGAGCAGCTGGATCATATGTATAAGAGAACAATATAGAACCCTTAACGTGACCCCTACTACAGACCCTAAACCCTAACCCCTAAATAATGACTGCGGGCAAGACCCAAGATGAGGAGATGGTACAACTCCTTGCACTGGGCAATTTAAAGCTACCTCACCCGACCTCACCCTAAATGGTGGTTGATATAGGAATAGTAGCAAGACGGCGGTAGATTGGGAAGTGAAATTATTCAAAATTACCTAAACCCTTAACCCCGAATAGTAGCTTCCAGTTTCTTTTCCATTATCCCTATCTAACCTCTATATAGTACGCTAATTGGGAAGTAACTTGCAAGGTATCCGCTGGTTCTCGCGAAGCAAAGGCTTCGGCTTCATTGCACCTTGGCCAAAGGGACCCAACGCACGACCAGGCTGGAGAGCTGCAGGGCAGCTTGCCATGTGCTAGTTTCCATGAAAAGGTAGGGTTTAGGGTTTAGGGAATATAGACCCTGGGTCCAGGGTTTAGGGTTTGAACAGGGGGACCCCCGAGATAGACCCTAAGATATTGTAATCCTTATTACATGTACCCCCAGGATGATCAGATGGCGCCCCTGATTTTGGGAAGCCCCCATGTGCCAAGGACCCATTGGGATTATGTTGGCGTTATATTGGTGTTGTTTTAGGGTTATGTTGAGGTTATATTAGCGTTATATTAGCGTTATATTGACGTTATATTAGGGTTAAATTGAGGTTATATTAGGGTTATATTATGGTCATACTGGGTTACATTGGGGTAATATTTGGGTTTATATTAGGGTTATGTTGGGGTTGTATTGGGGTAATATAGGGGTTATGGACCCAGGCAGACAAAGCTATGTATCTTGCGCTACATTGCGCACTGCTGCCTGTGAAAATAGGGTTCCTTTGAAATGCCCAGCTTCCATGGGTTTAGGGTTTTGGTTTAGGGTTTAGAACTCACAAGCCCATATTCTCCATTTCATTTTCCCCAAATTAGGGGTAGCTTTCTGGGGGTCCCTATAATGACCACGATAGTACATTAGGGTCTATATTGGGGTCCCCCCCATTTAGGGGACCTATCATACAACCACAGTTTCCATTTCATTTTCCATTTCTTTTCCATTTGAGTCTCCATTATTGGGGTCCTAAGCCTAAACCCCATATTTTCCCTATATTCCCCTATATACTCCGCAATTGGCCATTTACTCTCACGGAATGGCCAGCACCGTGCCCCAGTGTAAGTACCGGACCCTCAACCCCTACCTTCCCCGGTTTCGGGTTCAGGGTTTAGGGCTTAGCTAAACCCCAAAAGGAGGTAAAATAAACGCCCAAAATAGCCCAAGGCCATAATTTTACATACTTTTGGGGTTCAGGTATAGTGTAGGGTTCCCAACCCCAAGAAGTGTCCTCCTTTCGAGAACTGCCCACAGGCTTCACCGAAGATGTTTTCTTGCACAGAAGCGAGTTTGGGCCCCGTTTAGGGTTTAGGGTTTCGGGTTTAGGGTTGAAGGATCATAATGCTAAAGAGGACACTAAATCACTAAAGTCCAACAGCCGAGATAGAGACCTGGGTTATCCTGGATTTCTTCAGAGTCCCAGGGTTTGCTTTTTCGGGTCCAAGTATACAAATCATACCTACTTTGGGCCTTAAAGTCTGCAAATAGTACCTACATTGCGCTATTTGGATCCCTAGGTTTGGTTTTGTTTTTTGGTGGGCTCCTTTGGGCTTGCATCGAACCAGGTCGCAGCCTACGCTACTTTGGGTGTTGACACATTGTACATACACTGTGATTATGGGATACGCGACCTTCTCTGAATGCAAGTTTGTTCCACTCAAACTAGTGGAACCCGCATAATTTAGGAAAACTATCAGATAACCCCAGTCTCCATGACATTTTCTTTTCCATTTGATTTTCCATCACTGGGGTAACAGCCCTAAACCCGGTATATTCCGTATGTTACCCTATATGGTAGTTTCCCAAAATGAGGGAACCCCAACATATTATCGTCTTTATTATAGGGACCCCCAAAACGATACCCATAATTTGGGGAAACCCCCATATACTCCGCCCTAAACCCTAAACCCGAAACCCTAAACCCTCAACCTTAAACCCTAAACCCTAAACCTTAAACCGTGTGCAGTGCCTTTGCACATGTTGTGTCTGCGCTCTGGCTGAGACTCCTTCCGCCAACCGAAGATGGAGGCCGGTATCCTTGAGCTCCCTGCAGTGCCCTTTTCCAATGTATTATATTATTATAGCATATTATGGTATACTATAATATTTTCTGATATATTATAGTATATTTTAGTATATTATAGTATTTTATAGTGTATATATATATATGTATATATGTATATATATATATTAGTGTATATTCTGGTGTATTATAGAAGCCAGCAACGTGAATGTTTATCACGGCCACGGTACTCACAGCCTGTAGACATGCAAATAGTTGCAAGTACTATATGTCTACCGAATCTTTGCATAATTGGGTGCCTCAAGTAGACCTCAAAATTAAACTAGTAATCATCTACAATATACATAATATACCAGAATATGCTATCATATACTATAATATTCCATCATATACTCTGATGTAATAGGTCCCCACATGAGCATTTTCTTGCCATGCCCATTGACTTCAACGTACGTTTGCTCTGGATCGGAGCGGCTCAAGAAGAGCACAGCGCTGTGCAACCTTCCAGCACAAGCAACTAACGTGCAGCATAGGTCTTTTGCTTGCGCTTCATGAGGTAGCAAAACGCTTCACCTTACAGTAATCACTTTCAAGATTCTACTATTCTATAAATGACATCAATAATACTAATAGTAGTAGTAATAATAATAGTAACAACAATAATGGTAACATTGGCTATGCTCAGTGTATCACTTATCCGAACAGCTTTGGGATCATCCTGCACCTGGCAGAAGCTTAGATGTGGAGCTTTCTCTGCGGCCCTGGCTGCGAAATGTCAGAGGAGCCGGAGAAGAGGTGGTGTGTGGTGGGAGGTGCCGCGCCAGAAGTTTATGTTTAGGGTTTAAGGTTAGAGCTTTGTAAGCTTGAGATTTGGTAACATTATGGCTGGGAAAGTATCTAAGTACATGAGCGGTTATCTGGCTTACAGTCTCTTGTGATCTTCTTGGGGCTTTGGGCCTTGCCTTATGCGGCTCAGCAAAGTTGCTATCAAGATTAACCTTCTATATTCTTTGGTCATCCACAGCATACTCGAACGTGAAATGCATCCACAACTGGTAGTTTCCCAAAATGAGGGGACCCCAATATAGACCCCAAGAATACTATAGTCCTTATTATGGGGACCCCCAAAAGGGTACCCCTAATTTTGGGAAACCCACAACTGTCAAAGCGGCAGTGCAGGCACAAGCGGGGTGAAGGACTCTCGGGATGATCCATGCTGGCTTTGGATTCCACAGTTTCCATTTGAGCTGTAGTCTAAACTCCTTAAAGGGGGTTATATAGGGGATTATATAGGGAACTATTAAAGGGGTTATGAAGAAGGATACTAGGAGTTTAGACAATGGCTCATTTCATGTTTCATGTTATTTTCCATTTGATTCTCCATTGCTCTTGGTCATTATGGGATAACATTCTTCGTAATCAGAGGATATGATGAGTATTTGCGGCATGATATGCTACATAGTCGTTTCCATTTTCTTCTCCATTATCCCTAAGCACTCCACCTAAGACCCAAGATAACCCACTATAGAAGGTTCCATGTTCTTTTCCATTAACCCTATATACTCCATGATATTGGTAACTACTATCCAGAGCCATGCTTGCCTGGGGTCTGGAAATATCGCCACAACATTTCGGACAAGTGGCTTCAGTCAAATGCTTTTTTGTGCAGAAGAGGCTCTACAAGCCCTGAACCCTCAACCCGCATCAGAGAGAACGCGTGAGATATCAGCCGGGACAGAAGCATGTTGGCACATCTTGGGGAGCTTCTGAAATTGGCCTACAGAATTCTTACTATCATAGAGTCCTTAAAAGTCCCTTATTCTGGGGGTTGTTATGTGTTGGGCCCGTGATACTGGGGTTCCCCACAATCGCTTTGTAATCCCTGTGCAGCCCAGGTGCCGACAAGGGCGGCATTTTAGTCCGAACTGGGCAGGAACTGAACTCTCCTGAGGTCTGCGTCTTGTGCGTAGGCAGCTTCGGACACTTCGCCTTCCATCTAGGGAGGGAAATCACCCAAGTCTAACCAAGTAATATTCCTATAGCCAGGTGCTGCGCTAGATAACACTAGTGTCACTAGTGTTTCACAATATACTTGCCTGGGCGTTTATGGAATCCGCTTCCGACCTATGAGCCATTGTCTAAACTCCCTACAGGGGGGGTATATAGGGGAGTATATAGGGGACTATTATATGGGTTATTAAGGGGGATACTAGGAGTTCAGACTATTTATAACCCGCATAACCCCCTACATAACCCTATAGGTAGCAGTTTCCATTTCATTTTCCATTTTCTCTTCCATTTGATTCTCCATTATTAAGGGGGATACTAGGAGTTTAGACTATAGCTCCTATGTTTCCTGTAAAATGCCACCGCAGGCGGCGAAGCGACTGTCCCATGGAGCTTTGGTGAAGCAGGCAGGACATGGCCCTTTGGGTGGGTTTAGGGTTTAGGGCTCCATACCTAGGGCTCAGGGTTTAGGGTTTAGGGCTCCATACCTAGGGCTCAGGGTTTAGGGTTAAGGGCTCAATACCTAGGGTTCAGGGTTTAGGGTTTAGGGCTCAATACCTAGGGTTCAGGGTTTAGGGTTTAGGGCTCAATACCTAGGGTTCAGGGTTTAGGGTTTAGGGCTCCATACCTAGGGTTCAGGGTTTAGGGTTGATAGGGCTCGATACCTAGGGTTCAAGGTTTAGGGTTTAGGGCTCCATACCTAGGGTTGAGGGTTTATAGGGTTAGGTCTTCTTGAGAACCTCCTGCAAGTCAAGCACTCGGCCAACAAACACAAGATTTCTGATCAGGGTGTCCAAAGATAGCTAGGTGGGAGGGTTTCACATAAGCTACGGACTAAACTTAGGTTAGGGGGAACCTATAGGGGACTATATAAGGTTTTGGGATTAAGGGATATATTACAAATTTAGTCCCGGGCTCAGCTAGGTGGGGGGGTTTCACAGGGTCATCAGATCCGTAAGGAGGACTGCACCGCTACCCTAAAACCCCGACCCCAAATGGTAGTTGCCCAGAATAAGGGGACCATAATAACCTAACATAGATCCCGAAATACTACAATCCCCATTATGGATAACCCTAAAAAGGTACCAAACCCTATATAATCCTGTATAATCCTATAACCCCTACATTCCCTTCGAAGGTCCCCCAAATCTAAACCTAAATAGTATTTCCTTTTTCTTTACCATTACCCCTACATATCCCTACATATCCCTACATATCCCTATATAACCCTATATAAACCCTATATAACCCCTATAAAACTAGACCCTAATAGCCTAATTATAGACCCCCAAATTACGATGATCCCTGTTATGGATACCACCAAAATCGAAAGGTACCCCCAATTTTGAGAAACCCTAAACCCTAAACCCTAAACCGCATAGATCTAGAAGCAGCCCAGTTGCATCAAGGTGAAGCTGGTCGGAGAGCGGCTAAACTACGAGCGGCTAACAGGTGATGGACCTGAAACTGGCTGGGCCGGACTCCCAGCCATAGGGTTTAGGGTTTAGGGCTTAGGGTTTAAGGTTTAGGATTTAGGGTTTAGGGTTAGGGTTTAGGATTTAGGATTTAGGGTTCAGGATTCAGGATTCAGGATTTAGGGTTTAGGATTTAGGATTTAGGGTTTAGGGGTGTTTCTCAAAAGTATCCTCACATGATCTTAAAATTGGACCGCTATAATGCTCTTGAATCAACAGGGTCTTGGGGCCAACTTGCTCTCCCACAAGCTACAGGAGGTGCCAACAAGTGAGGTCATTTTGACAGGCTCACAGTTGCACGTGTTCCTGGCTAGATCCTATGTACCCCATTTAGTCCCCCTATACTACACACCCGGAAACTAACATGGACACCCATAACGGGCCCTATGAAGACTACAGTCCCTCTAAAAGGGGGCTATATGGGTTTCCATGTTAGCTTGGGGGAGTGTAACACCAGTCAGTTTCAATTTAGTTGTCCAATGCACGCTCCATTATTCCCGATACATTGTACAATGATGCAGTCTGGAGCACTCCAGACCCTAAACGCTCAACTCCAAATGGTAGTTTCCCAAAACATGGTGACCCCAATACAGACTCCATAATACTATAATCCCTATAGTAGGAAGCCCCAAAGAAACCCTAAACGCTAAACCCTAAATAGTAGTTTCCATTTTCTTTTCCATTAACCCTATAAGGATAAACCCTATCATAGGAACCCCCCTTGAAGGAGTCGGGGAATGTCCGCTGCTAAGCGGCAGCCTGCTCAGGTGAGCCTCAAGGTCAAGGACAAGGCGCTGATGGAGCAGCTGGGCGTAAAGGTTTAGGGTTTAGCGTTTTTTCAGCTGTCAGACTAAACTCCTTGAAAGCGGCTATATAAGGGTTATATCGGGGACTAGGGGTTATTAAGGGAGGATACTAGGAGTTGAGACTATAACCCTTATAATCCCCCATACAATCCCAGTTTTCATGTCATTTTCCATTTTCTTTTCCATATGATTCTTCTCCATTATAGGGGTTAGGACACGGAATTTAGAGACTAGCTCTTTTGACCTTCTCCAAACTCAACCGCTCGCCGGTCCTGTTGCGAGATTCAGGGACTGGTAGCAAACACTGGAGCATTTTGCATCAAAAGCTATAATCCCTATATAACCTTTAAGTATAATTTTTAGTAGTTGCCACTTTATTGTCCATTATCCAAATATGACCCCAATATTACCCCAATGGGGTTCAAGGCTTGCACGCTGTTGCTGTTGAGGCCTGCGCCTGTGCTTGCGCCCAAGGTGCGCAGAATCGCTTCGCATGCTGCATGTGCTAAATGCCATACATTTGGGATAGTGGAAAATAAAATGCAAACTGTTATATTATATTGGGGTTATCTTGGCATCATGGAAAATAAAATGCCAACCATTATATCACATTGGGAGAAGCGGATGTATTCCGCTGCAAATCTGCATGTGGCAGGCTGTGGAGGAAGGACGCGCCGTAAAAGCCTTTGCCCCGCCACCGCGACATGTGGAGGGCCGGAAAGTGCGCGTCATGGCTGCAAAGTTGGGTACAGTTCTCGGACTGCTAAGTGCTTGACTGCAGAAGGTACAGATACTTTTCAAGGCAGGAAAGCCTTTTGCTGCGGATGCGCACTCTCAGGAATACTCTGCCTCCATGGTACTGCAGCCACGGAGAAGGTTCTGAGGCACCCCGGCACGTGATTCACGCTAAGGATTGATCAACTGTTTCTGTTCCATCTGGACAAATCAAAAGGATAATCATGAGGTCATTGATGCCAAGACCGTGGCGAGACAGTATTTCCAATGTTCGCAGTAAACAGAACTCAAGTTGCTTGTGATTGATGTCACCCAGGGCGCAACTGGCACCGCTGATCAAGCGAGCATCCGACTCTCGTTTGCAACCTTTCGGCAGGCCCCGAGGTATTCAGGTGGCCTGATATGATTAGCTTCTGAGATTGCGCTTGAACACGTGCACTGCAGCCCCTTGTGCTGTTTGCAGCTTCTGTTAATGCATGTGTTTGCAATTTTGCTGCAAGGTGGCTTTTAGGATCTGACTACAGTATCATGCAGAGATCGGAATGATTGCGTCCCTGACCTCGACCGTTTGGCTTGAGCATTCACCCCAACAAACGCAGCCGCGTTGCCGCAGCAACGAAGAACATGCTAGCATCAAAAACCGCATCGTAGCCAGAAAAGCCATCGATTGCCTCGTTTCTTCTTGCCTGGATACGCGATCACCCCTACCGACATGGGTTCAGGATGCTCCCGGCTCCCGGCAATGAGAATGCTTTCAGCTGGAACAGGTCCGGAATTGTGCCGTCCAAGCATGACGTAATGTCATGTGCGGACGGAGCAATTCATGATCTGTTCCAATTGTAAGCATTCTTTGATGACGTCTAGCTCTTTTGCGATGACGAGTTCCTGTACAAGATGCAACCGCTGCAGGTTGATCAGGAAGAGTAGAGCTTTTGTTCGGTGAATGTGCTGCAGGCGCATGGACTCACTCGAACCTTCCGCATCGAAAATCTTACCCCTGTAGGGTCAGAAATGCGGAAGGTCGGGAATTGAGTGTGCTTCGGCTGCCATAATGGCAAAATCTGTATTAGTCGATTGCATTAAGCAGGATGATTACGTTGAGATGCAGATGAGGTTTTGCGACATTCGCATAATTGCAGACAATGCATATAGTCCCCATTAATCTATAAGTAGATAGAACAGAACTTTGCGTATATTATAGTAAGATCCCCATATACCCCATATTCTATCTACTCAAGGGTACTATGGCGCTCTGGCCACCCAGCCACCAATGAGCCAATGCAGTTCGTATCAACTTTGGGGCTAGGCTCTGTCTCATTACAGTATGTTATAGTATATTCTGGTACATTATAGAAAAGTCTAGTACATTATAGTAGATTATAGTATATTCTGCTATATAGGGATCCAAGTATACAAATAATACTTACTTTGGGCCCTAAACTCTGCAAATATTACCTACATTGGGCTATTTGGATCCCTAGGGCTACGGCTTGTCCTTCAGCATTTCAATCTGCCTCCCTATCAACCCCAAGTTTCCATCCCCTAGGGATCCAAGTATATACAAATAATACCTACATTGGGCCCTAAAGTCTGTAAGTATTACCTACACGTGCTATTGGGATCCCTATACATTCCTATAAACCCCCAGTTTCCATTTCATTTCCCATTTGCTTTTCCATTTCGTTCTCCATTATTAGGGTTATACAAAGGGCTATTTGGATCCCTAAAACCTAAACCCCAATGAAATGGGGATATAGATGGAACTGCTAAGAAGTCTCAGATCAGAATAGTTATTTGAAGAAAGCGCCAGTCCTTATGATTGGTGCTTGGATGGTAGCGCGGCTTGAGAGCAAGATCTGCCTTGCGGCAAAAGGTGCGCTCATTCCAACAGGAGAAGGATACGAAGCCAGCCCTAAGCACATCCAAGCACAGCGAACCGGCAAGGATGACATCGAGTTCGTCTTCCAAGACGGCTGCGTAGACTGCGACTTGCGCAACCCCATTGTGGCAAAGCAGGTTGACCTCATGAAGCAGCTCGGCAAAGAGCTGCCCTTGCCACCCCATAACGTCAAGTCTACTGCTAGCAGCGCACATACCACGTGAGGCGCGGTAATTTGCAAGATGATCCTAGACGATCTGCTTTGCTAGAAGAATCCGACTCCTTACCAGCACAACCATGCGCCCTATATAACCCCTATATAACCCCTATATAACCCCTGGGAGCCATGAGGCAATACTTCCCGGATGAGAAGATGCTTGGCCGCAGACTTTTCCAGCTTAGAGCCCTGCTTACTGTCTAGGAAGCGAAGCTCTTCTTGGAGTATTCTTATCATATTTTCAATAGATTACAGCATATTATATTCTACTACACTCTAGTATATTACAGTATATTATAGTATATTTATAGTATATTATAGTATATTATCATGTATGATGAAAATTTCTATGGTATTTTATAATACTGTATTCTAGTACTGGCATGTATAGCTGGAAAGCTGGATCAGACAGACTTCTCTTACCAAAAGCCCAAACGGCATAGCGTGCGCAAGGTCACATACCCAACAGAATATGAGCTGTAGTCTAAACTCCTTCAAGGGGGTTATGTAGGGGATTGTAGGTTATAGTCTAAGCTCCTAGTATCCCCTGGAGAATCAAATGGCAAGGAAAATGGAAAATGAAATGGAAACTGGGATTATATAGGGGATTATACGGCTTCTAGTCTAAACTCCCCAATCTAATTCACGACATAGCCCCTTTCAAAACCCTTTTCGGAGTTTAGACTATAGTAAACCCTAAACCACGTGGCTACAGTGAACTTTCGAGCCCTTAAGCCAAGGCCCAAATAAGACTTGGCGTGAGGTGGTTTTAGGAACCGCCTCTCTCGCAGCAGAAAATAGGTGTTTCCCAAAATTGGGGCTCCTTTTTGGAGTCCCCCTAAGAATGAGGTCATATATGGGGCCCCCTACTTGTGGAAACTACCAAATAGGTAATACAGCCGGTGGCTGATGAATCTGAAGGTTCAAGCAATGGGCGGAGCCCTTAGGCGAGGAGACTGGATGGCGGCGGAACCTCGGTCGCCTTGGAAAAGTTAGCTTCTTTGACTTCATGCTACTGTTAGGATCCCTATGTTCAAAGGATGTCAAAGGTAAGTCTAGAATTTTCTGCTTTGGCGAACACTGATCTGGATGTCTCAGGCACAGCTGCTTGGGTCCACTAGACTAGATGATCAGGTAGCTTCTGTCCTCTCAAGCCCAACCCTGACGCGACGTTGCAAAGCATGAGGGCTGAATTCCTCGACTGATGCGCTTGTCTGCCTTGGACAGCCAGTCATAGCAAGCCTTCTTCTATGTAGGCATCTGACTGTAAAGCACCGAAAAGCTGCCCGCATCAAACTTCCAAGTTGCCAACGAAACCCGTGTTGTTCATCACTTCGCTTGATTCGCTTTCGCACTTTGGTGTCACCTGCACATCTTCAAATAGAGGGACACCAATATGGTTCCCAATATACAGTAATCCTTATAACGGGGACCCCCCAAAATTCTCTAATTTGGGGAAACCCTAAACCCTAAATAGTAGCCTCCATTTTCTGTTCCATTATCCCTACCCCGTATACCCCCTATAAAACCATTTAAGGGTACCCCGACTTTGGGGGAAACCAACAGGTATGGTGGCTGGGAGCGAGCCATCGAGTTTGCACAGGAGGCCATGGCCAAGCACGCGCCCATTGACGGGATCCTCGGCTGGCAGAGGGTATAGTCCCCCTTAAGTAGATGGAACATAGGGTATATGGGGTATTATAATATACCCACTGCGTACTGAAGCCTGCTGGGATTCGTCTCTTGATGATAGCCTTGCTGCCATTGGCATGGGCCAGAACCATGGCAAGAAAGAATGGTTGCTTCGGTTCGTCGGTAAGCATGCATGCGTCAAAATGCGTCAGTCACTTGGTGTGCGCTCAAAACTTGTTGGCAAGCCAAAGCTTGTGGCACGGT